ATTCTTAGAATGTACTTAAACATGTGGCCTTCGATGCTTGGCTAATGTGTATCCACATGACTCTATTAGTCTGTGGGTTTTGCTTTTTTTTATTCATCCTTTTCATTTCCAGCAGAGGGAAAGGGGATCAGTCAGTTACAACAGAGAACTCTTTTCCATTCTAGAGGCACTATTAAGCACTGCTGATCTGTGTGCTGATACAGCACTGTTTCTTTCTAATGGCTGGTGGTGTAGGACAGTGGGCATATGAAGAGTGTTTTAGGTATGGTCTGTGGAAGTATTGTTTAGGAGATGGTGTCCAACAGCTTCAGGGCCAAGTTGCCAAAGTTTCAATAGGAATTGCTTATCATGTTACATTTCAAAGGCATGGGCTGATATATGAATCCGCAAACATGTGCAAACGGCTTGCATGGATGAATGCACAAGCTGCATCTTAAGTGTTTTATACATTACCACTAACCATGTTAAGGGTAAGCCAAAACCATTTACAGTACCTAGCTTTGTGTTATTTTGGGGGGTCACAAAGAGTTCCCATTGTTAGCAGTTATTTGACGTACAACATCTTCTTTGTTTTATTCTGATGCTGGCCTGGTACACTTTGTTCTCTTGCCAGCAAAGGCAAATGAGACTGCAAAGAGTGAAGGCAAATGGGGCGCAGCAGCCAAGAGAACAAGAGATTGACAAGAAGCATCAAAACAAGGTGATCCTTTGGTGAGATGGCCATTTTTCCAGTAATTTGTTCAACTATGTTAATTATAAAGAAAAGAAAAAGGGAGAGCATTTGATGCAGCCCTAATAGGAGGAGTAAGGCGCTGAGTTCTGTGAATGGTTTTGTGAAGTTTTTCAGCTGTTTTTTGGCAAAAGAAACCTATTTGGCCTGTGTTCTCTGCTTTTTTTGTACACCATAAACTGGATGGTGCATGGACGTTTCTAGCTTGGGGTAGGAGGTAGGACTGGGCCATGGGATGTTATGCCTCAAACACCCTTCCCAACTCAAGACTTGAAAAGCTGTTTCCAGAATACTCAGTCAGACACAATGTGTATGGGCATTGCAGTCAGCGTCCAAAGCCATTACATGCCTCAAATTTGCCTCTGTTGTAAGCATCTCTGATAGGGTGGTAGTCCTCAGTGTTCTTCACTGCTCTCTACTTTTCTCTTCTCTAGCCTTCAAACAAATATGGAAGACCTGGTTGTCAGAGTGCAGTAAATACTAGCAGAGGACAAATGACAGAAGATCCAGTCTATGCCAACTGCACAAATTGCTCACACAGACATATGTGAACATGGCCTCTTGTCTACTATGTGAATGACCTAGAGCCAAGGCTCCAATGATTTTTACATTGGGAATGTGACTGAATGTGAGAAAAAACCCATTCCACTACCATTTCACTCATCCGTGACTGAAGAAGTCCCACGCACATACAATTGAACTGTGTGAAGACTGTAGGTATATATGAAGAGATAATTTACATAGGGGTCAAGAGATTAATAGTTGTGCAAGGAAGACAAATCGGCTGTGATGCGAATTGGAATGTCAGCAGAGCTGCTTTGTACTAATACAAATTTGAATATAAGTGGACTATTGAAATAAGAGACTGAAAATAGGCTTTAAGTTGTCTTGCAGCCAAGCACTGAGTAGGTCAGATGCCACTTTCCATAACAAAGCTGCTGCTGGCTCCTGGTGAGGTATGTTTCCTCTGGACACAATTCAATATGGACACAAACACACACCCTTCCTTCTGCCCAGAACAGGCAGCCTGAGCAGAAGTTCTTGCCCATTGCCGTAATATGATTACTCAAGCTTGCAGAAAATAGAAAGCAAATGAACAGATGCCAAGTCTTTCCTTTTCTACTGTACCAGTGAAAACAAAAAGACTCTTCCTGTCAAGCTCTAGAAAACAATTAGAATAAATTATTGTAAGGTTGAGTTATAGAATCATAGAGTTGGAAGAGACCCCAAGAGTCATCTAGTTCAACCCTCTGCAATGCAACTAAAGCATCCATACAGGTGGCCATCCAACCTCTGCTTAAAAACCTCTGGGGAAGAAGAGTCCATAACCTCCTGACAGAGACCGTTCCATTGTCGAACAGCTCTTACTGTCAGAAAGTTCTTCCTGCTGTTTAGTCAGAATTTCTTTTCTTGGAACTTGCAGCCATTGGTTCGAGTCCTATGCTCCAGAGTAGGAGAAACAGGCTTGTTCCATGTGACAGCCCTTTAGATATTTGAAGATGGCCATCATATCTCCTCTCAGTATCTTCTTTTCCAGGTTAAATATACTCAACTCCTTCAACTGTTCCTCATAAGCCTTGGTTTCTAGACCTTTTATCATCTTGGTCACCCTTCTCTGCACACGCTCCAGTTTGTCAATGAAATGAAAACTCTAATTGAGAGCAAGAACTGTCCATGAATAAGCATGGGGAGGAATGAAAAGAAAGCATTGCTCAAAACACACTTCCTTCAGGCATCCAGAAGGCATAAGGCAGGGAAGAGGAACCTGTTGTTCTCCATATGTTGTTGGACTGTACCCAATTATTGCCATTTTCTTCAGTCACCTCTCTGCATTCTGAGATTTCAGCAACATTGCCCATATGCTTTCAAATGTTATCTTCAAAGCCAAAAGAAATAGCAACATTAAGAAAAAGGAAAGCTGTAGGAATCCAAATGTTGTGTCCAGGATTACAATGTTTCATCTCTTTCAGAAAGGTAAACTCAGACGCTGTTGAACTTCAAAATTCACACCACCTTAAAATATAATATGGTGACATATATGGGCTACATAGTTCCTATTGACATGACTTTAACAGTGCCCACAGACCAGAAACTCTAAAGGAGTTAGCCCAATCTCAGTGCATTTAGTTATAACCAGTGGAAATTTAAGGGGCTGTGAAAGATGATCTAGGGCCAGATAAGTAGCAAATACTACCACTATTAGGATCAACTCAGGCATTGCATTCACATGGGAACAAATCCTGTGCTCTATCTGCTAAGATCATTAAGTGATCTTTGCTCTAATGCTTGGGGGTCTCAAGTTCTTCCTCAACCAGAGATGATTATCTTATTTCTTGAACAATGAGCAGATAGTTTACTGATTAGTGTTACTACTTTGTTTGTTTTTAAAGAGGTATTTTTCTCTAGACTTTTATCACTAAGCATCAGCTCCATTTAATCTATAGGTAATAACAAAGAGAGCGAGAGAGAGGAGCCCCTTGTAGCTAAAAGTGTAATTTAAATAGCTATGTCCATAAGGCAGTAATTTTTGGACCAATGAGATGGAGATCAGGAACATTTTTCCAGCATTACATGGACAGTCTAGAACATTGTGCAGCTTTATTTATTTTACAGCAAAATCAAATGGAATTACAACAGTTAGTTAGTTTGCTTCACCCAGACTTGAAGAGTTTGACTGCCTGCCATGATTGGCATCTGTGACCACCTTATCCAAGTCACATATGTTACAGTGGATGTTGTTGTTTTTTAGCAAAGAACTCAGGAAACGGAAATGTATTGGAAGTGTGTGCCACAAAACTCTATTATGTCAATGATGTTCTGTTTTGTCTGACATATCAACTGCATCATCAAATTTACAAAGAATAAGAGTAAAGAAATTTGCAATATTTACCAACGATCAGGAGTTCCATTTGCTAAGTCAATGTCAATGGAGAATGGGCACGTGGCAGCACTTTAGGCAGAGTGTAGAGGATGCCATGTGTACTACGACATGCTGTGGCACCCATCATTCTCGCTCGTGGAGATTGTTAATCACATGGAGGGAAAGAAAGGCTGTGGTGGAGGTTGAAAGGGAGTTGCTGGCAGAATTACCTAGGCAAAAGTGGCTACAGCTATTGCTTAGACCAGTGGTTTTCAACCAGTGTGCTGTTGGCCTGAATAATGGTCAAGGGTGCCGCAGGCAGCACTGGCCCCGGCCCTCTTTCCTTCCCTGCCTCCTCTGATGCCCTCTTGTGTTTCTGCCCCCCCAAGGCTTGCACAGTTGTTTGTTGCAGCAGCCCCGGCGCCTGCTGCCACCACTGCTGCCTCCGAAGGTGAGTAACTGCTGGCCTCATGTTCACCTTTGGCCAGTCTCCATCGGGTTGCTAAATCTGGGGGAATCCTCTTCCCAGGCTCCCAAGGGGCAGCATGAGAAGGCAGTTCTCTTTGGGGTGGGGTGGACAGCTCAGAGACCAAGGGCAGCTGTGGCAGCTGCCCAGAGGACTCCCATGGAGAGGAGAAGGGGGAGGGGGGAGGGAACACTTCACAAGGGTGTGAGGAACTGCCAGCTCTGCAGACAAGGGGTGACATAACTGGGCTTCTGAGGCTCAAAGCTCGTTTCTCCACCAAGGAGCCACAGAAAGAATGCAGTTGGTTAAGTTGAGCTGTGGGCTCAGAAAGGTTGGAAACGTCTGGCTTAGGCATTTGTACATATGTGACCGTATTTTGTGGACTGGGGAGCATGTAAGAGTGGCTTGATTGGGATCTGCAGACTTGCACAGGCACTGGAGGAAGGTTACCAGTTTCTGGTGATAGCCCAGAAATGCACCTCCTTTTGAAATGCACCCCCCTCCCCGTCTGTGAATTATGTTGGTTCAGCAGTCAGTACACACAGCTGTTTTGTTCCCATATGTAAGGGTATGGCTGTGCTTAGTAATTTGACTTCTACCCAGCTGGAACTTGAAATGCCTTATACTAATTTATTTAAGACTTGAGTTTATAGCCCTTTCATGTAACACAATCAGTGTTTCTGGGGTTTTTTTGTAGTAGAATAACTTTATACTGGAAGAAAGCGAGCATGTTGTCTTTTAGACAACATGCTCGCTTTCTTCCAGAATGAAAAGGATTGCTGTTGTCTTGTATTTTTTTTTAATTAGTTTGCTTTTTATCTAGTAAGCATTCTTTATTTTTTTGTTCATGTCTCAGATGCTTCCACAGTCTGTTCTGCCACAAACTTTTCACATTCAAAGCAGGGGGAGGGGGTAGAGGGGAAATTATACAGCACATCTTAGTATTTGTTTAATCTGGTTTAATTCAAATTTCATAGATGCTTTGGTTCACAGGGAAAACTGGATCATCACATCACACAGAGCAGTGTATTTAATTCTTTCCATTAAATAGAACAGGAAACAACAGTAAATGTACCATTCAGTCAAAAGAGAGCGTCAGTGAACAGTAGCTGAAGGCTGTTTTTAAACCATTAAAAACCATGGCTGCCCTGTACACATTTAAATTACGTTTTGTCCACCACACAACTGGGGATATCAACAGCATCTCATAGAAAAATGTATCACCATGTTTTCAAATTGTTTACACATGATGTTCTTAGAGAACTTTGTCTGCAGAGTGAGATTCTCTTTAAATAGAAGAAGAGGGGGAACTGTTCCAGCTTCACCAAGGCAGTGAAACTGATTCAAAAGCAAACATACAAGGGGAAAGTGGAGAGTAGGAATTAAGGAGGCGACCACATGGATCTTGCAATTCTTTAGAAGAATGAGGTGAAAAGCAGGTAGGCTTTGCTGAAGACTTTCCACTATTTGGCACAGTGAAGAAACAGCAAAGATCAGGCAGGGTAAAGAGGTAAGAACAGCTTTTATGTCACCCCTACCAGCTGCCCATAGCACAAACACACATTTTATCTGGACTAGATAAATGAGAAAAACTACTGTTCCCAGCTTTGTACTTGTGATTGTTAATAGATGTGAGATTTATCCCAAATATATCTCATATCAATGCAATGAAAATTTAGGACATCCATAATGAACAATTGCGTGATTACTGTGATTACTCTCAGCTTTTTGTTTGTAACTCTGCTATTGGTAAGTTTTTTATTGGTCTTGGTTGAAATCAAGAGAAAGTCAAGTTCAATGGATGACCCCAGCAATGTATAACTTACTGACCATAACTGTGGTCACTCAAATCTTTTGGAAATGTTTCATATGTAGAATAGTATTCTAGCTGCAAAAATTATAGTAGTGTGACCATTCAAGCATGTCTGTCTCTTTCTGCTTGGGAACTTGGCTTGGCAACCTACTTGACCTGGAAGAGTAATTTCTAGTCTTGGACAAATGGCTAATTTCAGGGCTGCATTAGACATGCAAGGCTGTGCATTAAATGTACCACATTAAAACTTCAAAATTTATGCTAACGATACTTCTGGTACATGCTGTTGTATATTTTACTCATCTGCCATACTTATATCTTGGTGCACACTTTTTGTTTTCAGTACAGAAATTCATTTTAAAGGACAGGTTTCAAAAGAACCTTACGTTCTTTAAGGTGCAACTCACATAAGAAAACCAAAAGGGTTTCAGTAGCCAATAGGATTGGTGCACAGTTGTCTTTGTGAAATGCCATTTTTACAGGATATGAATAAGAAAAAGTTATTTCTCCAAGGGCCATTTTATATGTTCATATATCAACATAAACACAGCTTTACTTTATTGGCATCTGAATTTTTCTGCTCCTACTTGGTTGGTTGCTTTGTTCCTTTCTTCTTGAACTATAGGTGAAGTTGACTGTTCTTGAACGGGAGCTCCTTTTACAATTATTAAAAGTGTGAGAAGTGGGTAGACTGAAGCAGGCTTAAATTACACAGACTTAAGAAAATGTACATATATGGAATGGTGTATGCAGGTAAAGCCCATGGAATTTAATGTTATTCACTTCTGACCAATCATGAATAGCAATGGTTGTTCGCTTTTGTGAGTAAGATGTACATTGGTAAATACATATCATGGATAACTATCATGGATAGTTGTTCTCTTTCAACCGATCCTTATTGGTTGAGAACAGTAGAAACAATGATAAATTGGAGCATTTACAGCAAGTGCCACATTTTTAACCAGTGCTTTTCTTTTAGAAAAGGAGATACTGGTACTGCGTACCCATGAGTACCCCCAGAAAAGAAAAGCTCTGCGTTGGAGCATGATGCATGTGGGCATTCCTATTAGCAGAACATATAATAAAACTGTGGGGCAGGGAGGGAGAAAGATGTGGTTTCCATGAAAAAAAAAATATCAAAGAATGCTAATCTACTTAAATTGTAATAAGAACACAGTCCAAGCCAAATGGATGTACAACATGCATCAGTGTTGTATAATAACTGACTTGGAGAAAATATGGGAAGTTTTTCAGCTGCATTAGTGAAATCTAGCTTTGTATCACTAATATTATGCAAGGCCTATACAGGACTGGTTCTTGTATACAAAATATTTTTGACCAGGGAAGGATTTCTCACATGCTACCTACAACTCCTTATTTTAAAAATGACAAATGTCAATAACCACGGCTTCAAAAGAAGACAGGGGGCAACAGCCAGAAACAGAAATTCTGCATTGTGGTGTTAGGTAGCTCAACACTTCTCCACAGAGAAAGCTGGTCTCTCTGGGCAGTAGAAACACGGTGAGTGAGATAAAAGAAGAGTAAGTGACAGAGACAGGGGGCGTGATTAATTCCATCAGATCACACACTGGTTTCATTCAGCAGCTGTTCACTGAGGTGTAAAAGTCTGCAATCTATTACGACTGCAGGAATGGCTTGGGGGAAGTAATATCTCCCACCCTAATGTATCAATAAATGTTTAATCAAAGCAGACATTTCTTTCACACCATTTTAAAGAAATCTTTTCTTTCTGTCTTCAAATTGCAATAGATAAAACTTGATCTTACAGAGGTAGTGGGGAGAGGGAGAAGATTCTGACTCTTTTAACACATCCAGTGCTGGCCTCATAAAACAACGAAAGGCAGGAAACTCTGCTGCTAAACAAGGCTGTCAGTTCTACAACGGAACAAAATACCCAGTCTGCTCACAGTGAATTTTCTTCCCTAAAATTTCAAGTGTTATGAGAATTGTTTTCTACACATTCATTACAATGAGCTTTATGAAGACTGAAGCACATGACGGGGGGGGGGACCTTTTGTGCATTTACGCTTATGCCTTTCACTGTGTCTGTCCCTTTATTGATTTCTAACATGTCTCATTTTGTTTGTTGTGGACTTTTAAAAAAAAGAACTCTTAAATGAGGGAGGAACACCTATCTGGTGCCCTTCTAGAAGACGAACTCGTGAGTCATTATGGGTAGTTCAGGCCTCCTTGACAGTAGTATTCTCTAATTATTAAATCCTGAATCCTAATTTGAAATAGAGGGGGCACATACTTCATATGTGCTCAGAGATCCTGTCTTTAACTTACAGTTTTCAAAGTGTGATCCAAAGCTGTTGACACAGTTTCACAGCTGAGACTTTTGTGAAATTACACTTTAGTTATAAGGGCATTCAGTTGTCCATTTTCCCAATGATGCAGGTTGAAGACTTTTTTTTTTTTTTTGCAGTACCTTGCATTGGAAATTCACATGGAACTGAATTATTGGAAGGGCTGAAGCAGCAGAACCCCTCCCAGCCTGAAGGCTCATGGTGCAGTTCAGAAACTGCAACTCTGGTCAAGTTATTTGGAGCATGTGCCTCCATTTTTGTTCAGACTAAACTAGCTTGTTTCTTAATGGCTTACTACATTTAAAGCCTAAAATGTTTGCGTCTGGGTTATTGAAAGGTCTGTTATTTCTAGAATGCTTCTGATTGCCCTTAGAGAGGTCAGCCACTGATATCTTGCTTCATGACCCTCCTATGTCTAAAGAACATTTGGTAGACAAGTCAATCCACGTACATCGGGCTCAGTTTGAACTGCTGGTTTTGGCCATTAGAGCTTTTCATAGTTCAGGGCCAGGGGATATGAAGGACAGCTTGCCTTCATGCATACCCACCCAGCAGGCACAGCCCAAGAAATTTGGCTGCTTGTGGTGAAGGAGAATAGGGCACCTCCTCCCTATCCCATGTTAAAAAGCCAGCCGGACTGGGAGTTGAATTTCACTTCAACACTGGCAATAGGGCAGCATCTTCCATCATACCTGCAGCAGGCTAGTTTAGGGCCCCCAGGACATGCCATATGATATATACAGCCATGTCCTACAACAGAGGGGACTGTCCAGGGAGCTCAGAAGGAACTACCAGGTAGGCTATTGCTCCTGATCTCGTTACATCTGTCACCTGAGGCATTCACCTTACTCTGCCTAATGGTAGGGCAAGCCTGAATATTAAGGTATGTGGCAGAGAAATCCCAGGGTTCTCTTGCTATCTGATGGGAGGGTGGGCTTCCTCAGTGCTGGCACCCTTCATTTGGAATGCTTCTTCCAAAGATGTTTGCCTGACGCCTGCGCAGATGCCATTTTGGTGAAGGTATTTTTTCATTTCCCCAGACTGAGTTATTTTATGCCACTTCCTTTCATATTTGGTTATATATTTTAACAATGCATTTTAATTTTTGAACTTTGCTTGATGTTTTTAACTTTACATGCTGCCTTGTGAAGATGTTGCTCTTTTTATCGTCTTACTCACAGTCATAACTGCATAATTTTGGGAGGAGGTGGGGGAATGCTAGGCCAAAAGCAGCATTTTATTTTTAGAAAATGATACTATGACAGAGGTATAAGAATGGCACCAGTAGTGGCCAGCAGTCAATCAATTATTTAATTTCTTAAGTTACAGTAGATCTCTGTTATTTGAAGACCTAGCTGAATAAATTGCGTTGTCCTGGAATGCGATAGGCATTAGCATTACTTCAGAACGTACAGTTTCCTAGTGATCGTTGAAATCCTGTTGTCTCACATTTATTCTACTCATAGGTGCTGCCATTTATTTTTTGATCTTTAGAAAAAGACTGAAAGTTTTGGGCACAGTGAGCTGTTGTGATTTCAGTTTTGGGCACAGTGAGCTGTTGTGATTTCAGGAAGACTAAAAAACACACAGTTCAGTTCATTTTCATGTGGCTGTCCACTGTAGGAGACTGTAAAAAATCAACGTTGCAATGAGACAATGGCTGTGAAATTTAATCATGACTAGCCTATGGTTGTATAGAGTTAGACACCAGACAAGGAATCTAGAACAAAATTAATGTTGACAAAGAGAACAAATCCCTATTAACCATGAAGACTTGAATAATAAGAACAGAACTTGAAATTGTAGTTATTTCTTCCACCCCAAGCATCTTGCCCTATAAAACTATATGGAAATTGGGCTGCTGCCTAGCAATGTAATATCAATTTTCTCACCTGCACAGTATACAGAATTAAAAGTATACTGACTATAAATTCAGACTTCACTATTTAAATATTATCTACAATGGGAAGACTTTGACAATGCTTTGTGACAGTCTTCCCTTGATATCTCCCCAATGGGAAGTTTTGGATTATTAGGTTCAGAGTACACAACAGCAGAATCTGGGCATAAAAATTCAGTGTGGGAAATATTCTAGGCATATGACCTCTTAACACACAACACAATCTATTTTCTGAAAGGCTACTAAGCACCGCCATGCCATCCCATTGACAGTATCTATCTCTATATCTATCTTGTGTATTAACTGTAGTGATGAGAACCTAATTAAGAGTCACTGGTGCCTCCTCAGAAATTCCACTTTGGGCTACTGTCCTAAATCCCATTGAAGTCAATGGGAATAAACTGCATAATTGGTAATAGGACTGCATACTTCCTTCTGAAGTATATTTCAAATTTTGTTTCCCTGGTACCATTTCTGCAAGAATGACTCAGTTGGTAGACTGATGCCTAGGATATAAAGGTGGCTACTGTCATGGATGAGCAAGCTTGACAACTTAATTGATCGGCAAGAGCCTTACATTGAAGACGTAATGTTTTGCTCCCCGCTCCCCCAAACAGGCAGCATCTGTGGTTGTGCAGAAACTTCAGCTGCACACCATCAGTACTGCAAAGGAAATTCTTCTTTCTTCTTCTTCACATTTTTCTTTTTTAAAAAACAAAACATATGGACAAAACCAAATACAAAAGTTAAATAAATAAAACACTTAGACTCTGCCTCAGGGAAGCAGTGATCCAAGATTTCACCTTCACTGTTGCAGCCTGGAGACATGTGTCCTCAGTTTTCACTACGGCTTGTCTTCTGTGGACACTGAGGAAACGGCAAGTGGCTTCCAGGGCCTACAGGCAGGTTTCACACTAGACTGTCTCTCTGGTTAGACACAGGGTGTGTGTCATTGGATGAGGCCTGAGCTGTAGCTGAATCCATAGCTGCTAGACAGTGACATGCGTGGCCCGTGCTCCTCATCCTGCTCTGAGGTGTAGCTGGGAAATGTCTGTGCACGAGTCACTTTTGTTGAGCTGAGGCTGTGACCTGGAAGGAAAGGAGTGGGGAGGGGAAGGAGACAAATCTCATGAATATTGTTATATTTTAACAGTTGCAAATTGCACATATTCTTGCACTGATATTCCAGAAATGGTTTATCATTCATTTAAAAGACTATGGTAAGATATGTGTAAAGGGAGAGCTGATGTCAACAATAATTCTACAACCTATCTTGGGCTTCAAATATGTGTAAATAATATGGTGCTCCTGCAGCCTATATCCCCCCTCATAGACTTCTGGACACTGTAGTTTGTTAAGGATTGCTGGGAATTATGACTCTGTGCAGTACCCAGAATACTTTGGGGGGCATGTGCTCTAAATGTGCTTGAAAAGTATAGTTTGTACCTTTTTTGTTGGACCTGTTTCTGTAATGTTACAGACCGTGATAGATTTGGAAAGGGGTGTATTCTTGCTCCACCTGTCACCACATATTTTTAAACACAACACTGGAAGCATGCCAAATGAGTGGGGAAAGGAAGGTAAGTCTCACATAGATTTCTCCAGTTTGCTCTAAACTCGTCGGTAGGTACGTACCAGCCCTTTACATTTGTCTCAGAACAAATTACAGTCACAGAATCTTTTGTAGTTTTCCCTCTAGTCTGGAGCAAAGAGATCCATAGCATGAAGCTTGGGTGATTAGGATGACAGGACATTCTCATGCAATATTAATGTTCAGCTTCCACTGCATTCAGATCACAGAATTATTAAAGGTTGGATTAGTATGGCTCGGGCTTCCTCAACCTCGGCCCTCCAGATGTTTTTGGCCTACAACTCCCATGATCCCTAGCTAGCAGGACCAGTGGTCAGGGATGATGGGAATTACAGTCTCAAAACATCTGGAGGGCTGAGGTTGAGGAAGCCTGGTATGGCTGGTTCTGCAAACATCTCATGACCATCTTGATCCAATCTGCTGGGGAAATGCAGTATAGAAAAGGTAATCTCATATAATTCCTGCTTAAATCCACTGAAATTTACAAGCCAATCAAATCCACAGGAGACCAATCAATAATAGTTATGAGCAGAAAAAGTACAACAGAAAACGGTGGTATCAGGGAGTGAAACCAGAGACAGTACAGTGACTGCAATAATCAGACAGCGTTATAATATTACACATCAAATGAGAATACACATACATCTTAACAGTTTACTAGCTGGGTGAATTAACCTTTGCTTTTGAAACCTTTAATGAAATATCATGGCTTAGATGTCTTTTGGCTTCAGAAAGCCTTTGTGTTAAAATGTAAACCGGCAGATGATTGATGAATGGGAAGTCATCAGTCTATGCAGTTTGCTGGGATACCAGAGGCTGATTATAAGTTGCTTCTAATAGGTATTACTCTCCCACCAGATTCCACTTGCTGTGCTTATAATACATCAGAATACACTGTGAACTTGATGATGCCTCCCTTAGAAAGATGCCACCTGGCCTAAACTTTTGTGCTTGTTACGGCAGAAATGCCAGTGTCGTCCTGAAGATGTAAATCTTGTCCCCATCATCCTGACTTTTTAAATGTTCCCCAGTGGACTCTTGATGCGGACGTTTTATTTGTACTGATAAAGTTCACAAGGAAACAAGCAACTTTTTATTCCTCTCCCTCCCAAAACAAAAATGCACATTCAGGATATTGCAGGCTGGTTTCAGTTCGTCACAAAACCTTTTTACAATGCCTAGCCATAATTTTTAAGTGGGAAATTATTTGACGCCACCTACAAAAGTTCTATGAAGAATAACAGTAGCAGTATCTGGTAGTGCTTAAGTAGTTAGAAACATCTGAAACAGAGCTATGTGTATTTGGTTTTACCTAAAAGAAAATAAAAGTTCCCAAATCCTAGGATGGTGGTGGAGGCATGGTGGGGGGAAATGACAGGAGGTCATAGCCATGGTAATTGTTCACATATCACATGATTTCTCCGCACTTGACTGATGTGTTGATCACCCTGCCTTATGCTTTTTCTTGTCATCAGGGCAGAGATTGAGAGCTTGTGGCCCTCCAGTTGTTGTGAGACTACAAATTCCATTAGCACCAGCTAGCATGACCAATGGGCAGGGTTGATAGGTGTTGTAGCATCTGAAGGGCTATAGGTTGCCCCTTCCCTGATCTTTGCTTCCACTGTCACCTGTAGCCAAACAGATTGTTCAGGCTTGCAACAATGCAACCTGTTTGGCAACAGTTAACATGAGTGTACACTCCATGACCCATGACTTCCTCATTCAAATGACCTTCAATTTAAAACAAGAACAAACAAACAGACAAACTAATGGTGCTGTTCAACTTTAGTAATTCCCAACAGATTACTGCTAAATGCAGGGCTTTTTTCATCTGGAGCTCACTGGAACTATGTTCTGGCACCTCTCAGGTGGGCGCAGGGCCGGATTTAGGTTTGATGAGGCCCTAAGCTACTGAAGGTAATGTAGCCCTTTAAATGTCCAGTTGTCCTTTGTCAACAACAAATTGTCGCTGTTTTTTTGTGTTGAATATATGCTATATGGTAATTTATGGACCTAATAGGTATTTAAAGCCATTTGCACATAACAACATATGTATTTTATCAAAGTAATTGTTGAACTGAAATACATCATAGGAGCCTTCACAACACAAAACACTGTTGCTGTATGTAGGTTTTGTTTTGTTTTTTTAATCTTATATTTTGGAAATGAACATCCAGTTTTTCCCCTTTAAATTTTATTTGGGGGGCCCCCAAGAGAGTGGGGCCCTAAGCTATAGCTTGTTTAGCTTACACGTAAATCCGGAACTGGGTGGGCGCCATTGACATTATAAGAGAACAAGGGAGACATTCATGGTGAGTTCCGGCACCTCTTTTTCTAGAAAAATACCACTGGCTAAACTTACAACCTGTTAGTAGACAACTTACAGTGATTTCGAGTTCATTCCCAGTGTAAAATTTCCGCTTCTAGCAGCCAAGCCATTTATAAATAATGCATACAACTGTTTTCATATAAAGGGGGAATGTAATACATGCTTGATTCATGAGTTTGTGTGACAGATAGTTTAGATCTTGTCAATAATTTAGCAGTATTTAGGAACAGGATTTTTGTTCCAATTCAGAACAGCACTTTTGTAGTCAGCAACTGGGAGACAAATGTTCCTTTTCAAGACTGAATTGTTTCACTGGGGGCTGATTTGGGGCTGGTAGGTCACCAGGGCACTAAACTTGGTTCCAGTTGCTCCCGTTTTTATGTACACTTTGATAACACTCAGTCCCTGCAGGAATTTATATAACAAACAGTTAACTAAACAAAGCGACAATAGTAATTGTAATAATGGAAGGGGAACTGCAGGAGGCTGAGGCAGGCAAGGGCCCACAGGCCAGATCCCTAGCTGGCCAGGTGGGGCTTGTTAGCTCTGAGTGGAGGGGTGTGATTCCTCAGCTGGAGTAGGCTTGGAACAGGTGAGGATCACATGCCTTGTCAAGCCCAGATGCTGCAATCAGCATGCAAAGTATAAAAGGGTAGCAGAGTGGAGGTGTTGGGTGTGCTTAACTACCCAAGCTGCTGGACCTTGACTTGGCTGCTCCAGGACCATGCTTCAATTTGGACTTTGGACACATGGATTGACTCTGCGCTGGAGACTTTACAATACTGACTTGCTGCCAGGTAGGCCAGAGTCTGGGACATTTATATTGAAAATAAAGTGCCTGCACCAAATGAAGGAAATGGTGAAGCTGACCTACAGAGCACTTTGTATTTATCACTCATAATTTCAAAGGAATTTCAAAGGAAGATGTAACCAATCCACGTTAAGTTGTTTAATTGCAATGGTTCAGTTGCCATCAATTTTTAGAGAACACAGAGTGTTTATTCCTTTATTGTTGAGCCTTATACTGCAAATCTCTGCATGTCTATTCAGTCTCACTAAATAGGACTTTCTGGTATGTGCCTGATCATTCTCACAGTTTACATTGTTGTTGATTAATATCCCACCTTCTTCCTTTGTCAGGGACTCAACACAGCTTACAACTAAATTTTATTTCAGTCCACTTATCTGTTTAAGGTGTTGTACAAGCCTGTAAAGTAGGTTAGGTTGAGAGGTTTTAATTGGCTCAAGGTGACCAGGTGAGCTTTACAGGGAAGCTGGGATTTGAACCTGATACCTGAGTGTGTTACTATGTGCATTGGGCAGGCTGTGTGGGGGCAATACAATGATGTTTGGTATCAAAACTGGAATGCTAAAAGCAGGTAACTTCTTGAAAGTTCCAGAGGGCACAAAACACCACAGCTTGATTTTTGTGTGCTTCATTGTGTGGGGGCTACAGAGTGCTTTGTATTGGAATTGTGTTTGGAAGTCTGGTTTTGTACTTTTTCAGATGAAGCTAAATTTCTTCCACGCTTTCACCTCCATATCACTAAACTGGAGGAAGGGAACTTAATTCTGTGGTTTGTCTTGGGCAGTGTTTCCCAACCTTGGGCCTCCAGCTGTTTTTGGACTACAACTCCCATCATCCCTAGCTAGCAAGACCAGTGGTCAGGGATGATGGGAATTGTGGTTCAAAAACAGCTGGAGGCCCAAGGTTGGGAAACACTGGTCTTGGGTGCCAAAATGTCTTGGGTCGGCCTTGATTCTACATGCTGTAAATAACCTGCAAATTTGCAGCTTTTTAAAAATAATATGCTATTACTATTGCAATGCAATGGGAACACAGATATATTTCAGTGCTTGTCATTTTATCAATCTACTTGTATCATCTAGACAGCTCTTTAATAGGGTTTTTTGGGGTTGGGGGTGCTCCATTGGGTAATATTTTGGCTGCCATCTTTTCCTTCTCTTTTTAAGTTGGTTGCTTGCAATTTATAAAAGCTGGGGGGGGGGGGTAATGTGTGTTATGACCAAAGCACCGTAAGGTAAAGTGTCATTTTTATCTGAAGAGCTGATAGTGGTTTTTCCTCCTTTCATAGCTTGTGAATTTGTACTAATAAAGAAAGATCTGTAGCAACTTCAGAGTCAATGGGGAATTTGGATTACATGCTA